AGCATCAAGGACTGCACTAGACAAAATCTCACATATGCTTACACAGGGACATACAGGTAGTCCTTGACTTATGAAGTTTCTTTAGTGACCGTTTGAAGTTGCAAAGGTCCTGAAAAAAGTATTTAGGACCATTTTTCACACTTATGACCATTGCAGTATCCTATGGTCACGTGATTTACATTCAGATGCTTGACAACTGAATCACGTTTATGATGGATGCAGTGTCCCGGAGTCATGTGATCCTGTTTTGCAACCTGCATACATAACCACACATGAGCCAGCTCAGGACCATGTCTTGATGACTAGTTTATATAGCTATCAACATGTGCCTTCTTCCCTTAGGAAGCATAACAGAGTTGTTTTTCCCACCAGCTAGTGATAACAAGGAATCCATCGATTGGTTTCCTAAAGTTAGTGGTGGATTAAATACTCACATATGCACATAAAAAAAAACTCCCCACCAATTTACGAACTCAAGAACTAAAACACTGAAGCATTTCACACAACAGTTCAAAATTGTGTAGTGGTCAAAAATGAAGAGGATCATGGTGCCATTAAACATAAATGTGCTGAATAGACTCTCATTCTGAAAGTACTCTCAACCAGAAGTACTTTTTGGGTTACTTTCTTCTGGCTGGATATCTGGCAGGTTTTTATTATCCAAAATACCAATATTTAGCTTGGTTGTTATTGAATATCAGCTCAAAACCCTTGAACTGAAGGGTCTGAAACTTGGCAGAATGTTTCTCTTCAAAAGGGGTAACTATATCTGAAAATAGCTGATTCTGCCAAAAAAATAAACACAATATTGGCAGCTTTCTTGAAAGAGAAAAATAATGTTTTGTCTTCAATTTGGCAGGTTCCTCATCACAGAAGACACTATAATTATAGCAAACTTAGCTCAATTTCAGATTACTGTACCTTAATGGAAACCAGCTAAAAGTGATTATCACATGGAAAAATAGCAATTTTCATTTGGTGTTTTTCAGGTATAATTAATAAGGATGTATGGAAGTTGGAATTTTGAACCATCTTTAAGATCTGAGCCTTATCTTCAGTAATCGCCTCCATCACCTAATCAGGATCCAAGCCTCCATCAATGTATTTTTTCAAATCCAGGCTATGACATTTGGATTTCTTGCCAATAAATTGTTTTGGTAGCCTTGCTCTTTAGCAGATCAAGAAAAAAAACAGAAGTGTCTCATCAGACATCTAAAATTAAAATCTGAGTGACTGATGGAGAAAAGGGGGAAAGGAAAAGGAAGGTGTCAGGCTGCCACAGACTAAGATCAATAGTTATCATCTCATCCACTGCACAAACATCAGGACAATGAGGCTGGAAGCAGGGAGAATCTTACCGGGGACCACAGATCCAAGACTGGGGATAAATGACCTCCATTCCTAGGCATGGAAACCAAATGGGGATTTCACTGCTGTCCTGAATCAAAACATCAGTGTGCTGAATATGTGACAGAATTGCAGCCCACTGTAATGTACCACTGACAATTCTTGATGGGATAGCTAGTGTCCACTTCTGAGCATCTCATAATTTATCAAGTTACCTGCACATTGAAAGAAGAATTGCCAGGTACCTTATAAAATGAAGAGGCATTATTATAATGTTACCCTGAAGAAAGTGTATTGAAGACGTTGCTTAGAGTTGACACCAATTTAAAGGCATGTGATCAATCAATTTTATAACCAAAATATATTCCTTACCCAATGAACTATAAATCTTCTCTACCCCTGGGCTCCAAACTTCCTCATCGATATATCTGAAGTTCTTATACTGACATCTGCAGGACATGTGAAGTGGCTCAGATGAGATCCCGGAAGAGAGATTGTGAAATCTCAAACTGTAACAGGCTGTATTCATATAATAATGAGTCAGATTTTGGGGGGCAGATTCTGGTTTAGCATAGATAAGGAAACCCTGTCTTTAGAATCTAGTATCTATGCCTTTTAAAATAAAACTAATATACTATGTTAATTATCTTTCCTGAAATGTATTTCATGGGAAAGAGAAAGAAATTCTAGTGTTTGCTCAGAAGAATTTATCTTTTTAAAGATAAAATACAATGGCCTATGATAGTTTCATCTCCTTATGTACTTTCTTTATATTACAGTAAGCTTATCTAAAAATTTCCCGTACAGAGAAAGTTTACATCTTTCAGCATTTTTGGATCAGCTCCCTACAAAGTATATCTGGATAAGTAAATTAATTCTATGTAATTAATTTTATAGTTGCTATTTTCCCAAATGAAGAATGCAGAAATGTTGCTGTTAGCTCATACACAAGAATATGCAGAATCTCGGTTTTAGTCCCAAATATATGATTTTTAATCAAAGGGGCAAAAGTCAACATTAGTCATCATGGTAATTAAATAAGAACATGATCTTATGTATAAAGAAGAAATGCAAACTTCAATCAGTGGATCTTATTCCTAAATGTATATAAAATTGAAGACTTATAATATCAACTTAGAAGTAAATATTTCGCATCCTGATCTATCAAGTATTCTCTAGATTAGGGGTGTCAAATTCAAGGCCCGCAGGTCAATCTGGTCCAGGGGGTGCTTCAATCAGGCCTATGAGGGACCAGGCCACGGTGCCTCTGGCAGCAAAAATGGGCCCAAAACACACCCCAAATGCCCCAATAACAGGCCATGCAACTTTTTGGGCTGGCAGAGTGCTGCAGGAGGCCAGGGAGGGAGATAATGGGGCACAGGAGGGCCGCATGCAGATCCCCGCACCCCATTTTGGCCAGCAGGGTGCTGCAGGAGGCATCTGTCCCACCACCTCCACCAGCCCGCAGAGGAGAACTACAATGCTGATCCAGCCCTTGAAGAAACCCAGTTTGACACCCGTGCTCTAGATCTTTTGGATTATGTCTGCCTTGTCTGATAGCTAGCGGTAGTCTTATGCATCTACAGCAGTGGTGAGATTCCAGCTCCATTCTCCTGTGCAGGGCAACAAAAGAAGACCCACCAATCAGCTGGGACTCGGGAGGCAGAGAATAGATGGGGGCGGGCCAGTCACAGGTGGTATTTGTCAGTTCTCCAAACTACTCAAAATTTCTGCTATCAGTTCTCCAGAACTGGGCAGAACCTGCTGAATACCACCTCTGATCTATAGCTAGTCAGATTGGAAGACTATTTTAAGGCCACTGCCTCAGTTAATTCACTTGTTACAGTACACTGTAACTAGATATTATTTCAAATGTTTAAACTGTGGTCAATCATTTCAAATCTCTTGTATTTTCCGCATGCAACTATGCAAATACAAATACATCATAGCAGATGGCAGCATCTAAGGCACCTTAAGTGCAGCAATACCTTGTTAGTACAGGGAGTCATTAGCAATTGCTTCACATTTAGTAACTACTAGCAATTACAATTGTGATGAAAAAGAACCTCTACAACCATTCCTCACATTTAGAATTTTCACAGGTATGTAAATCAAAGGAAAGCTGAAATAAAATCATAAGCACAGTCAACTGTTTCAAGTAACAATCACTCAGTGACCCAGTTGCCAGTCTCAACTGTGATTGCTAAGCTAGATTCCCTCCTCAAAAAACATGTTGACCACTAGATGGCAGCAAAAGAGTTAGCATAGGCCAGGTTGACACATAGTCAGTTAGAATTGGGTAGTTTGTTGTTTCCTGCATTGTGGCCTTTTCAGGTACTTCTTATCCTATATTTATTAGTTACACTAAATCCATTAATTCTAATGTGATAGGGAAAAGAAAGGACAATAATGTGAGCGAGGAGCTGTTATTTTCATTGATAATGGCCTAATCTTCAGTGAGAAAAATAGATTTTATAAAACCAGACTGGTTTCTTTTGTGTTACTTGCTGCTTTATTTCGTCTTCCTGCATATTTATCTTGGGATGCTATTTCATAATTTTTTGTTACACTGTAATGTTGTTCTTCTTGAGAAAGAATTTGATGGAGAGTGGAATAAATGTTAACACTGGATTTTAGAGTGCACATCAGGATCCCTCCAGACTAGCTGAGTCAGTGAAGGTGCTAACATCCTAATTGGTGACATTCAACTTTTCTCTTCCTTTCCTGAGTTATACCCTCCAGATGCTCTTGAATTTTGTCATGCACACTTCCTTCACAAATAATCTTGCACACTTATGCACTTACTTGAAAATATGTTTCTTACAATCACAGCAAAGCCTAAAGAATAGTGATTAGCCAAAAATTTCTTTAAAAAAAAAATCAGAATTCTTAATCTGATGGTTTTGCAGACACAACAAAATTAAGCTACAATGCAAGAGCCTAATTCCAAATGCATTGCCACCCAACTCCTTCCCTAACACTCTAGATTCATGGCCTGGTTGTCCCAAGAGGATGGAGGCTGTAGTCCATCACCGCTGGGATGTTACAGCTCCACAATACCCCACCTCCATATATATCTGCAATGAGACTAATGTGTTGGCACGGAGAGCCACTCTCACAGTCCCTCAAGACAGGACTGGGGCTCTAGAGGAATTGTCCCTTCTTAATTTACAGGTCTTGGCAGCTTTTATCGAGATGGAAGCAAAAAGATGCAAAAATAAAAAATAAAATCTACCAGTCCTTTCGGGCAATCTAATGGTGGTCTGGATTTGTGCAGCTCGGATCAGGAAGCCCTAATGTTTCAATGCCATATTTTCCATCGCTGTTGGCTGTGGGAAGACGATCGTGATATCAAAGTAGATGATTTCTAGCGGGAAATAATACAGATTTTTTTTTAAAAAAAAAATACATAGACGGAGATTGTGCAAATGTAAGAATAATACTAAAAATAACAGAGCATTGGAAACGCGTTTCCAGTCGGTACTTTTCCGAAGAGGACGCTTCCGGAAAGGGCAAAAGCAGAAGAACCGGCTGGCAAAGGGTTTTCACCGGGAGAAATCGGATTGGCCAAGGGAGCTTGTTACGTGGGCGAGGCGTTTGGACTCGGCACGGTTTGCCCCGCCTCTCCCCGTCTTGATTAGTCCCGGCGTGGTGCATGTGTGGATGTTTTCCCCCTCCTTCTCCTCCATATCCGGGTACAGATTGGGAGCGTTTCCTGTCGGCTGAACTTGCAGGAGCATCGGTGGGGGAGACCGGGAAGCGGGCGAAGAAAAGGCGGCTCTAGGATGGGAGTGGGGTCGCGGAAGAAGGAATCGTTCGCCCTACTCGCCCACTGCCTCTTTTAAAAAGAAAGAGCTTCGCAATTATCCCAAACTGCTCCGACTACCTCTTTCAGCCTCTGCCGCTTCCCCACCCTTCTCAGCACACTGCAATCGGATGCCTGGCTCTGGGTCCAAATGGTGGGTATTAATTAAGCTTCTCTCCCTCACCCTCCCAGCCCCGCCTGTCCTTTGCAAGCTAAGGATTCCAGCCACCCCAAAATCCTCCCCACCCCTGGGAGTCCCGCCTTCCTCTTCCAGATTTGGTGATGGAGAGGAAGATGCTAATTCACTGAATAGTGTTGTAATGGCTTCTCGTGATTCTCTTGTGAAAGGGAAGCTAGTGTCCTTTTCTCACCCTTCTTTTCTTGAGAATAGAATGGGAAATCATTACTTCCTTTTGCATTTCGTTGAAATGTCCTAATGCTTTACTTTCTCCCCAGTAATCCTGAACTGAGATTCTTACCCTGCTCACTTGCTCCTGGGCTTAAATATTCTAGCCTAGCAAATTGGGGTGGTTTTTCTTGAAATACTGCATGGAAAATTATCCAGATTTTTATACAGTCTTTGAGGCCCTTCTTGTTATCTTACAGATTTAATCTCCTTACCCACTTAACACCTGACTCTTTCCTACAAGTTGAAAAAACTGCAATTGTGACATCCAGAATCATGCTTCAGTGCCTCCTTGGATTGTGACATCTCTCCAGTCTTACCCCAACTTTTCTGCCCCTGGAGGCTTTTTAGGTCATAGTTTGATCCTTTCCTAAAGCTTTACCATATCTGCCCCTTCTCTGATGAGCATTCATGTTCTTTTAAATAATCTTCCCTTGTGAAAGCTAGGAATGATTTATGGTTGCTGTGTTGTATTCTTCCCCCATCCAGAAAGAATTTGGATCTTGCTATGATGATTTCTGCCAGATGGTTTACTCTCAGCTAGTATCATTATCTTGAGAGTTATAACTGCTTGTGGAAGCTGTCGAAAAGTTGAGACTATACCTGGTCATTGGATTGGGATTGGCTTGCCTGAAAGGACAATTGTGCTGGATCTGGAGGCACTATGGAGTTTGCTGAGCTTATTAAGACACCACGAGCTGACAATGTAGTCCTTCACCGCCCTTTCTATCCAGCAGTGGAGGGGACCCTGTGCTTAACAGGACACCACCTCATCTTCTCTTCGCGACGGCAGGACAATGTCGAGGAACTTTGGCTTTTGCATTCCAACATTGACTCAATTGAAAAACGGTAAGGATATTTTAGCTCATGAAGTGGGGAGGAAGAGGAACAATGATGTAGTCCAAAAAACCATACATCTCTTCCATGGTAAAATTTTGCAGGTGATGGATGCAGGAATGGCCTGGATTAAGGATAGTAAATAGAACTGAATCCTAACTAGATAGGCATGCCATGATTTTCCATTATTAAAATGAAGTATCTATACTTTTACCATTTTTAGCTGATTTGTATAGCTGTTCTCCAGATAAGGAGTTAGTTACAGCTGTGTAATAGTATAATTATACCAGCACATCAGTTATTAAGCAACCTATATAATTCCCTTATCAGCTTCCAAGAATTTTTCAGGATGTTGAGCATAGGCCCTTAGCCTATTGGCACCAAATATGATAAGATACATCTTCCTATTCCATTCCCTCATGTGGGCTGAGAGGGGAAAGGTGGATTTATTTTTAGCCATGCTTTTATTGCTTGTTATAAGCCTCCTAGTACCATTATGAGATGGGTGGCCATAAATGTTCTGTTAGTATGAGTTGTATTTATTAATGTATCATATCTTCATTTGAAGATTTTTTTAAGTACTGTCAGTTGATGGTGGAACATTGCATATCCAAGGATGAGGAGAGGCTTATTCTGTATTATACTTGTAGCCTGATTCTGAAATAGGCTCTTTCTGGATGCTGAACAGGCCCTGATAATACAGCCTTTTCAGGATTAGATTTTGTTTCTCATTGATTCAGACATTTTTTAAAACTGCTTTTATTACCTTTATTACTTTCAGTTCTCACCAGAATAGAAAGATGGAATATAAGTGGCATAAAATAAATTTAATTTATGATCTTGCTGCTTCTTAGTTTATTGCTTATTTGAAGGCTAAATGTATTTTGTTGAATTATTTTTCCATTGACTTGGACTTATATTGTTGAATGCTTTTTCTAAGTTGATGGGGAAGAAATGGGTGTTTAAAATGAATTATTACATAAAATTCACCTAAAATATACTTTCTGTTTTTAAACATTTAAAATATTCTTATGAGAATTTTAAATGAAATTAAATTTGCATATTGCCGAAAGAGAAATTCTGAAACAAGGAACATTTTATTTTCAAATGATGACTGTTTTAGATGACACTTTCTTAAAAAGGCATTGCTCCTTATGGAAGAAATAAGAGGGAACATCACTTGAGCTTGTCATTTGCAGCTTTAATAAATATACTAAATAAAAGCTGCTTAACTGAAAATCATTCGTAGATTTTCCTACATTTTGCATTTTTCTGTCAGAAAAGGCTTTGTCCTTTGATTTCAGACCACCCATTAAATAGCTATTGAGCGCTTAGTCTTCTGTTTGAATCATCTGGATTGATTCTGTCTGAAAACATCACTTGTAAGGTAGTGCAGTTTCTTTCCTTGTTCTCTGCTTTTGCAACTTCTTAGAATCTAAAATCTATAATGGTTAGATTTCTGGCCTACAATCTTGATTTGCACATAAGGCTTTCAGGAAGCTTGTAAATTGAACTTGTTCAATATTTGTTTCCCTCTATTACACAAGAAATATTCAGAGATATACTGTACCAATAAAGGAGAATATTTGTAGCTCAGGGTTGAAATGAAGGGTTCTTGATGCTCTCTGAGCTTGTTTTCTTGCAGATGTTTTATTACCCAAGCTAGCACTGATCATGTTACCAAGTATATGTCTCTGAATATTCAGCTGAGTCATCAATCAGTTTCTATAAATGATATAAATCAGTATAAATCAGGTATTTTTTCGAAATTGTCAATTTTAAGATATTCTGGGAGTTGAAGTCCACCTATCTTATAGTTGCTAAGTTTGAAAACACTCGACTTGCATAAAAGCATCCAAATCTTTTGTTAAGCCAGTTCAGTTGCATTACCTTGCTATTTCTCAATTCCCGGGTTGTTGGTTTTGTTTGTTTGTTTGTTTGTTTGTTTGGGGCGGGGGAATGACATGTATAGTAGATTCACACATCTACAGAGTACTACATCAGGGAAAGCTGTTTTAGATAATTCTGAAATGTTCATTTTTGTTTTTTAGATTAAAGGATGGAATGCATCTTATTTTGAGAAACGCATTGAACTCAGTTGTTTGGACTTAGAGATCTCCATCTCCAAGGAATCAATTGATAGGCTATTAACTAATAAGTTTTCAAAACTGCTTTTATTTTAAAAGGCCTGTAGAGTGAGATCACCCACAAAACTGTCATTTTATTCTTGTCTATTTTTTATACATTATTGACGGTCTTATGATTGTAATTGAGCTGAGAATTTCAATCATATATCCTGGTTAAGTGGATCACCATGTGATCAGACGTGATTTTATGATATTTTGTCAGCTATTGTTAAGTGAACGTTGAGATCATTAAGTGAATCCATTTTATGTAATGGCTACTTTCTGTTGGAAACCAGAAATAAACTCTGCAAACAGACAACAAAAACATCAAACCTTGTGGTCATGTGACTGCAGGATGCTGCAAATAGTCATAAAGATGAGCTGGTTGCCAAGCACCTGAAATGCAATCACATGACTGTAGAGGGGTATAGTTGTTGTAATTTTGAAATCGGGTTGTGAGTAGCTTTTTGTTGGGATCCATCATAACTTCAGTCGCTAAGCAACTGATTGTGAATTGAGGTCTATTGCTTTCTTCAACACTAAAAGACAAGCAATATTTGGTTTATATTCAAGCTTAAAATGGGACTTTTCTGATTGATACCCTGATATTATGTAGTTTTCTTGATCAAAAATAACTCTTAGAATAACAACAGCAGACCATCTCCTTGCATAGCAGTACCAGCAAGTTGTTACAATTCAAAGATATGCTTTGCATTATTCAGACTCAATGCAAAGGGTGCAAGCATAATTAGCCATTTATTTCCATGAAGATAGGTTGTCCTGATGAAGAACAATCTGGAAATATTTGTAAGTCAGTATTTCCTTAGAAATGAGAAAAATAACCCTCTGTATTTTTATTCCTATAAGACGGTCTCAATAAAACAACATATTTAAGACTGAACAAACCAGTACTGCTTTATCATATTGCTGGGTGCCCGCCCAAGGTTGTTTTTTTTTTTTGAACAAATTTTATTGATTTTCCAAAACAATACACAGACAAACAAAACAAAAAATATAACGACATAAGAGTTTTTTTCCTTAAAAAGCCAATACAATATCTTATTTAAAGACAGAATTATTCCAAGTTATCACATTTCCAAACAAGCACAATTTGATATATATATTTACCTTACTTGTTCATCTTCATATCTTATCCCAAACTTCTCTTTATTACTTCCTTTCCTTCTATTTATTCAAATTATATCTCTTTAACTTTAGATTGTATACATTTTTTATATCCATCTGTCTTATACATTTTCATTATTCTCTTCCAATAAAAAAAAACAAACAAGACATAGAACATAAAAACATAAACATCTTTTCTGAAAGTTGCTTGATCCCAGGTTAAAACTCATCGTACAGACACCTCTTCAAAAATCATGTTCCTTTTATATATCATTCCATATCTTATTACCGTTTTCCATTTTCTATATAGCTTCTTCCTTTTTTAAACTCTCTTAATTTTATTCTACTTATCTCAGTTCAAGTCATAATACTTAACATTCTTTGTCTGTTCTCAACTATCCATTCATTTTTTCTCTTTAAACAAAACCTCTCCTGTACACTAATTAGAGTATGACGCCTTTAACTCTTTCCCCTAACCTAATAATACTTAATATCACACATAACTTGTATTGGGATTCTGTTTAGCACATCCTAAAGTCACACAATATATTATATAAAGAGAAAAAGAAAAAAGAAAGAACGACAATAACAAAGAAATTTATAGATATATAATATAGGTAGTACCCCTGTCAAAACCATTTTAATCGTACCTATTGATACTTATTTATATATTTATATCTTAAACATTTTATTCTATAAATGCCTATAATAACACAATCTTATGTACCTTACAGAATCCCTTTTTCAATTAAATTTACCCATTGTCTCTAAATAAGTTTTGTTTCTTCAAATCTTGCTTCCCATCATTGAGACTTCTCACCCCTTCCTTTCTCCCTTGCTTATTCTTTTCCTTACCCTGTTTACCCATTTGTCTTTCCACCTCCCTTTTCTTCTTGTGCTTTCCCCCTTCCTGTTGCTTTCTAATCTTATATCCACCCTTCAACTCATTTTTATCTTTTTTGGTTGTTTTTTTAGGTTTTAAAATCCCTTTTTCCTTTTCCTCTTCCTCCTCCTTCTCCCCCAATAGAGTCACGTGTTCATCAAAAATGGTTCCTTCTTTGTCCCAATTATCCTGCTGCGCAATCAATTCTCCATAGGAATGCACCACCATTTCTAGAGATTGAAAAAGAATGTCCAAGGTATCTTTCCAGTCTTGTTCTTCCTTTTTATATTTTAGATATTCAGTTTTAAATTCATCCAAAAGTGGTGCCATTATAAAGAGGAAAAAAATTTCCCAAAACAACCACCCAAGTGTTTTTAAACAAAGAAAAAAAAAAGTTTCCCAAAAGATGCAAAGTCACCAAACAATCCAGATAGACTATTTCATTTAGCACTTTTTCCCTTCTTCCATTTCTTTTTCTGGGGTTGCTATTAAATCACAAAATTCCAATTATAATATGTCTTTTGAAGTCTTATTAATGTTCAAATGGCTCTTTAAAATTCTAGGCAGTCTGCTCCTTATTTTCAACTTCTACTTCAATTTTCTCCCTCTCCCTTCCCACTCACAGCAGAAGAAAAAAATTTCTTTGAATATTTAGAAATCCATATCCCTTTGGCATTAGCATAGTCTTTAGCATTTAGCATACCTTCAATGCAGGTTTCCGATTTCTCTCAAAGCTGTTCCGCTTGGAAGGAGAGTGAAAAGAAAAAAAGTTTTCCCTTTGATATCCATTCGCTGCTTACTCAGTCTGGGAACAATGTGTCTTTAGTAGGTGTTAAATACCAGGATACTTTCACTGTTCCTTTGTCCCGGTCAGCAAAATCAGTTTCATTTCTTCACAAACCCCTCCAGCACATTCCTTTTCCCGGCTGAGCTCTTCTAAGTGGCGGCCATTAAGACCGCCGTTCAGTTGCCATCGGAGAGGGAGATTTAGCTGGCTAGGGAAGAGAGATGCGATGTCTCTCGTCCCTGCCAGAACCCCCCAGTCTTCACCACCTTCTACAAAGGTGGCTTAGCCCCGAAGCCAAATGGCTCGAGGCACTCAGGCAGTGAACACAGGCAGAAACCGTGCACAGTCACGGAATCCTGCCTGCACCGAAGCACCACAAGCCGGAAATGTCCGTTTTTATTGCTCTTTTAAAGTATATCTGATGCAGAATGGCTGACAGTGTTGATACCAGCCTGATTTCAGGACAGTACTCCAGTAACAGGGTGCCAGAACAGAGGATGTCTGTCACCCACATCTTCAATTAACAAAAAATGCTTCTTTCAGAGATCTCTGTCACTGTAGGCCTACAGTAGCCAAGTAAGGTTATCACATTTCACTATATCGCAGAAGAATTGGGAATGTGGTTTGTAGCCTTGTGTGGTTTCATTCATGTACAGTTTATCTGCTGAATACTTTTAGCCACAGTTTGCTATGGCATCCGTATCAGAGTAGCTGTTATTATGGTTAACTCTGAAATTAATTATGATACACTTTTGACAGATATTTTGGAAGACATTCTGATTACCCTTTGTCCCTTTGAAAATTACAGTCAATTATGAGGGAAATGAACTGACATCCATGTGTCAGTGTTGGATGGCTATCTGAACTAAGCTGGGGTGCATTCCGTTTTTTTTTTAAATAAAACTGGTTTACAATATTCTCATATAAGCATACATGCAGGACGTTCATTTAAATGTTTCTTGTTTTCTTTCCCCTTAGATTGTGAAGAAAAGCAGTGTTTCCCCCATTCTCCTGCTCTATCCAGTAATTTCATTGGAAAAAATATAGTTTTTGCTATTGCTATTCATATTTTTTAAAAGGAATCCTAGCCCCCTTGGTTGGTTAGTTATTTCCCTCCAAATATTAAGATGAAAAAGAGGTAGAAGAAACCTGAATTATAGTTGCTACAGTGCAGTAAAAATGTCAAATTTCAACCCTCTCTTCTTATTTGACCATGTCAAATAAGAAAGCAGGATGGGGTCTTAGATGAATTCCTTCTGATCCTCCTAGGATTGGCCGTGGGGTTTCAAAAACACCACTTGAATTATTTACTAGCAATAATCTGCTATAAAGACATTACTTATCTGGAAATTACATTATTAACATGATGTATTTTAATATATTTCTCCCATCTCTTTGAGTTTGGAGCAACACTCCAGTGAGGTATGCTTGGCTGAATGCAAGCAGTTTGTGTGGTTTTGGATCTCACAATTTGCTTCATTGCCATATGGGAATCAAACTCTAAGTCTTCTGCCATTTCAGTGTGGCCTTTGTAGTTGCACTGTTACAAGAACAGTGAACCAGGCCCAATAAAGGCTATAAACATTTATGCTGCCTCTGAGTGAGTACTAGATGCCTATTCAGTAAATAATAATAATAAAAGGTTCACATGTCATGGAGCAAGAGGGAAAGGTAATCCCACTGCAACTATATCTTCATAACTTGCCTGTGTTACATGGGTGAAGAAAGGATGCATTCCCTTTTGACAAACTGAGGAGGTGGTGTATTTGTGTAGCATTCTGAGAAAGTTTTGAAAATCTTTGCATTTGAGAAAGAAAGGAACTGCTGGGGTGTGACAGCACATAATATAATCCTCAGATCCATAGCTGACCATCTACTGATGCTAATCTACTGGTCCAGGCTAATTTAGCAATATCTCACCATGAAAACTTTTTCTGTCTGATCCTACATGTTTGATTCTCCATAGTAATGGTGGTTCCCTCAAGAAATGATGGGCTCCACTGTCCTTGATGATCAACTCTCACCAATTTAAGCTAACATAAAGTCAAAACGCCATCTTGTTTTCTCTTTGATTTAAAGAGCTAAGGAGCATCTTATTTATACTACCATAAACATTTTAGTATTATGAAGAGACAGAAAGAGCATCAAACATTGTTACAGTTTGAAGTTGTTGGCATTATTTCATGTTTGTTAATCCTCACTTTATTTCCTTAGTTCTAAATTTTTAGAAATCTTCAATGCAGTTTCTGAATTATTTTCTTTTCAATTAATCTATGAGACTCAAAGGGAACAGTGGCAAAATACATTGGAGTAGGAACATTTCTGGGTACACGTGGGCAAATGTAGAATGGTTAATATTTCCTTTCCACCTGCCAGCCCTTCTTTAAAATTACTTTCCCCATCCTTATGTTCTTTTTAACTTGATCGCTACAGATGTGGAAATCTTAATTTGCTAAAATAATCCACAGTTTTCTGGTTCATAGACATATTTTCCCATTAATGTTGTTCAACTAGCAGTGCTTGAATGTTTTAATGGCTGAAGTACGATAGGCTTCAACTTTTGTTCATTTGCAGACCATGTAGATGTCTACAGTTCGAAGGCCATCAGAATATACTCTTAACTCTTCAGTATTCATATTTTTATATCACTGCAGTTTTATCGGCTTCTTGGGCACCATCATTATCAAATGCAAAGACCTGCGAATTATCCAGCTTGACATTCCTGGCATGGAAGAATCTTTGAACATTGCTAGCTCCATTGAGGTAAAGTTATTTATAGAAATTAGAAGAACCCAACAAAACTCTGGTTCTGTTCTGTAGAGATTCATGTCGAGGATGAGGCTGGGGAACTATCATTGTACTCCGACTCATTACTCTCACTCTCTCCAAATCTTCAGAGTATTTAAAGGCAGCCTATTGTATGGGCAAGTAGCCCATTGTAACACTATGCATTTTCTCCTTCTTGTAGGCACTGTCTACCTTGGATTCTATCACACTCATGTATCCTTTCTTTTATCGCCCCATGTTTGAAGTAATTGAAGATGGCTGGCATTCATTCTTGCCTGAAAGTGAATTTGAACTTCTCAGTTCAGTTGTAAGTTTTTGTTTTTATTTTTTATCACTTTTTACTCTCACCCATTTTACAGAAGTGACTCTTGGTGATGTACAATAATCAATAAAAGCAACAAATGTATAAAAAGTCTTTATAAAAATTATAAAGTCATTGTTAGAAATGAAAAAGACTATAAAAATTAAAATATACAAGAGCAACCACAATGGAGCCATTTAAAAATGTCTTCAGTTCACTGAGACCCGGAGGGCTGGTGACATCATCAGGTCTTGAGGGACTTCTGGCTTGATAATGGAGGTGGTGTTAACCTGACTTAGGGAAGAAGAATGCTCCATAGGGAGTATAGCATATCTCCTAGGACCCACTAAATATAGGTCTCTAGCTAATGATATCTGCAACATACTTTTTCTGCCACATCTAATGGGTCTGGCTGATATAATTGGGGAGAGGTGGTCCCCCAGATAACTTAAACTAATGTTAGGAAGGCTTTAAAGGTTAAAATAAGCATCCTAAATTGGACCTGGCAGCCAATGCAGCTCACAAAGCAGAGGTATAATATGTATTCTTTGGTGAGCACACATAACTGCCTGTACCACTGCATTCTGAACCAGTTGTTGCTTCTGGATACTCTTGAATGACAGAATTGTAATTGTTTAATGTGGAAGTGACAAGAGTATGAATAGTTCAATGTGAAAGTGACTATGATCAGAGCCTGGAAATCCAGGAATGGATGCAACTGGTACACAAAACAAAGTTGTACATAGTTTTACATGCATGGTGTTCTTTCCTAGACAAATGAATGGCGGTTGAGTTACATCAACAAAGATTTCTCAGTCTGCCCTTCTTACCCACCTGTCGTCACTGTTCCTAAAACAATTGATGATGAATCTTTATGCAAGGTTGCCACTTTTCGCCATGGTGGACGCTTCCCAGTACTCAGCTATTATCACAAGAAAAATGGGATGGTGAGTTGGACACTTGGATTACAAGGCATGTGTTTTCTTTGTGATAACTATGTATATATATTGCAGTACTTAAATGCCATAATTGAAATTGTTGTAGTGGAAGCTTGAGCATTTCAGGGTAGCAGGAAGAGAAGATTATCTGAATAGATATGCTTAGGAAAGCTCCTGAAGAATCAGTTAGCAGCTTGAGAATATAGTGGTTACATTAATTAAATGCTCCCAGTGATGTAAATAATCCCCAAAGATGTAGAAATGGTCTCCTTTTTACAATAGGTTGGCTCTTGCACTTTTCTTTTAAATCTTTCTCATTGTTTAATATTGATAGAGAGTGAGGCTGCACATTCAATAGCTTTTTGGAATCTGAACGAGCATCATTCTGTTTTCCTGCTATAACCATGAATCCCAAAGGAATGTGTCTTTTTGAGAGGAGTATGTTAAGATCTTAAGAGTAGTGTGGGTGCATTCCTATAGAAAAACATAAAATGCTGCCCCTTCCTGAGAAGAGTTGTTTGACCATCCATACTCTCCTGTTGTGTGTTCTTAGAGGTTGTCTATTAGCTGTATTCAAATAAGAATTGTTATATTAAAATTGCACACTTCTGAAGAAAGGGAAATGGGTTGGAAATGGGTTTCACAGACATGAATGCTGTCTTAATATTTGCAGAAAATATACTATAGCTTTTATATTTATTTTACCCACGTCTTTTGAAACTCAAAATAAAATTGTTCTCACTTGAAACATAGAATTATATCCTGGATATATATGTACCAGCATTCATTCAACTTTTATTAAGGGAGATGTGTTTTTGCATTAATATTGAACATTTGAATTGTCAGGTGAAATGCAAAACCCTTTTTACTCCTTCAGTATAATAGAATGCATGAATGATTTTGAGGGAAGAGTGGAAGTGAGGTTGTCTAGGAAATAATCGGACAAATAGAAGCGGGAACCCACAGTCACTTAGCAGTCAGAGAAAGGAACTTAGGAAGGACCCACTGTAATGGATAAAACAGATAAAAGTAAAGGCCTTCAGACTTGCAAGATTCTTTTAATGCAGTCTTCAATAAAATAGAATTAGGTCATCTTGTTTTTTCCTACCTGGTTTGCCAGATAGGAAGGTGGACAGGGGGGAGGGTGACAATCAGTTACTCCAGAATGGTGAACAGTTTTCCCCATGGAATCATACAATACCTTTAACGCTATATTGGCTTTTATACTACAGTGTGCTTATATGGGTACATAGTCTTAACTACAGTTTGTTGGTCCTTCTAGGTAATAATGCGCAGTAGCCAACCACTTACAGGTACTAATGGGAGGCGTTGTAAAGAGGATGAGAAGCTGATCAATGCCACCCTGAGGGCAGGCAAGCGTGGATACATCATTGATACACGATCTCTGAATGTTGCTCAGCAAGCCCGGGCCAAAGGTGGAGGCTTTGAACAAGAGGTTCATTATCCTCAATGGAGAAGGATTCATAAATCCATTGAGCGGTGAGTTTCTGTATCAGAAAGACTTGCTTTCAAGAAATTTAATTTAATTTAGAAGCTTTTTTTTAAAGTTTAGAACATGGGATTTAGGAGATTTGAGACATGCAGATGAACCAGTTGCCTGTCCAAATAAAGTATATCGGGTTGGGCACCAGAGTTTAATACAAAAAAAAAAAAAAGCTTTGTATTTTCTTAAACAGTAGATCTGTTGTTGTTCTTTTTAAAAAAAGAGGAGAGATTTTTTGAAACATTTTCCAAATGCTTTAAGGAGCACATTGACTATATACAGGAGTAGAGACAGAAAATGCTTATATTTTCATGCTTTATTTATTTATTTATGTATTTTGTGTGTGTGTGTGTTTATTTATTTATTTAGGAAATTTATATGGCCACCCAACTCATGGTGATTTTGAAATGAGGGGTACTGGTATATTGTTTTTGTGGTGTTTGAAGGAAATGTGCATAAAGTTTAATGGAAGCTTTTTGTTACGTTTAGTCCATTTAACCATAGTATTTCATTTATTACATATTGTACATAATTTTTCCATTTCCATTAAAAAGTGGTACAAAGTTTTCTTTTTAATTCATTGTTCACAACAATAGATGTTCCATTTCATGTGAGAATTACAATTCAAAAGAATGAGGTCCAGAATTTAATTCACTGTTACAATTAAAAGAAGTGCTCAGATTGCCATTTAAAAAGCTCAATATTTCCTGCAGCTTCATGTCTCAGTAGAATTAGATGGGAAAAGGAAATGTAAGGTTTCTGTTAAAATCCTGGATTTATAGAATTTGCTTGATAATCCTACTTATTTTAGGGAGAGGTCTGCATTTCTCCTATTCTTCTCTATATTTGTCTCTCTCTTCATGCTTCATTTTTGTGGTACTAGAATGCCTGTAGCTGCAATCAAGATTCATTTTTTCTGAATTTGGCATCCCTATTATTGGGTATTGGTTCCTTGAAGGGCAATCTAGGATTGATGGTGAGATTGTGAGTCACAGTGTTTCAACTGCCTCTCATGTCGAGCAGCAACATGCATTATGCTTTTTCAGAATACTTTGACCAACAGAAATGTTCCATGCAATCTACAATAATAAGAAATAACTGCATGCTGACACAAATGTAAAAAACAATAACAAAAATCAAACCAAAAATGCACACGGCTTAATCTCAGAATGAAAGCCAGAGTATTTTAATTTACCACTTTGATGCTAACAATATTGGAATCTCCCACATCTTTTGGTAAGAAAAAGCTGTTCCATTGATAAATGGCGCCTTCGCTTCCCCAGAGACTGATTGTGTTTCAACCAAGCTATATGTACAAAGTAAAAGAGGTACTTCAACTGCCATATCAACTTTGATTTTTTTACTATTCTCTCTGAAGTCCTCTAGCAGGATATGAGGCTTGACTCATAGTTTGCAAAAGTTATTGGAATTGTATGGTATTTAAGAGTCCAGTGTCTATTTCTTAAAATTGAACACTTGAATGTAGGAAATATGAAAGGTGTTGTCATTGTGATAATAAAAGTGTGCATCATGGATGTAAGGTTGCTTTCATGTTTGTCCTCCTTTCTTCCTAATGTGCTTATAGATACAATATTCTGCAAGAGAGTCTCATCAAACTTGTGGAGGCCTGCAACGACCAGTCTCATAATATGGATCGCTGGCTAAGTAAGTTAGAGGCTTCAAACTGGCTGACTCACATCAAGGAAATCCTGACCACAGCTTGCTTGGCTGCCCAGTGCATTGATAGGTAAACATTCCAGCATTTTTTTCAGTTTATTTATTATTTATTTAAAACATTAATGTGGTTATTCATCTTAAAACCACATTCTGGATGGCTTACAACTGAAAGATAAAATCATATCTACAAAGAACAAGAACAGAAAAACCTGGCACTACAATAAAATTTCTCCAATGAAGCCCAAAATGCTTTCCTCCCATTCTGATTTTCCATCAGTTGGTCTGGAATAGACCAATAATAAATTCTCTTGGTCAAATCAGGGTCCCCTCTAATATTGGTACCATTGACTAGTTAGTTGACTTTGGGAAGTACTTGCAGAAGTGTGGTTGGTTGGTTGGTTGGTTGGTTGGATGGATGGATATGCATGAAAAAGAGGGAGGTTAAAGTTTCAGTTCTTGAGTTTGGGGCAGAATCATGAGCTGAACCTGTTTCTCTGCTAGATAATCTTGCTGTATGGGTGATATATGATAAGCACAGCAAGCAGTTCCTTTTCTTGAAACATATTTTCTCTCCTAGGGAAGGAGCATCTGTCTTGATTCATGGAACAGAAGGCATTGATTCAACACTTCAGGTGACTTCCCTGGCTCAAATCATTTTGGATCCCAGATGCAGGACCATCCGTGGCTTTGAAGCTCTGATTGAGAGAGAATGGCGTCAGGTATGAGTTGCTATGTTTGCACCAGCAAAACTTTTTGTTGTATCTTCATCTGTGAAATGCTGAACATCATTCATTTGCTAATTTGTGCAAAGAATAACATCTTACCAAGAATCACTCGTGGGCAAATTATATAGATGTTTGTTTTATTACATTTTATGTTGCAAAGTTGTTGTGGAGTCTAGGCTGCTAATGACAATCAAAATAAGATCTATCTAGACAATGCCCAGCTTGTTCCAGTAATCAAAGTTAACATGCAGATATTTGCATTTTGTTACCTCAAGAACAAGATACCTGGTTACATACAAATTATACTGTAAGATCCTTAGTGCTACACTCCTGGCTCTGTAAAGATTGTTAAGAGACTGAAAACCTGGGAGGGCAGATCTGAGGGCAGTAGTACTTCCTCCACCCCATGAGATATCCATAATACACACCAGGTATATTATATAGACGAACCATTTTAATTTTAGATGAAAGAATTGTAAATTAAATCAGTGATTCTCTTGTTTTGAAATGTGTATTTTTATTAGAGTAAGCCTGCTGTCAGCCCAATCTAATAAAACATTTTGGTATGTAACAAAGCATTCAAAAATGGAGGCATGTAATATAAAACTTAAACTCCAGAGTTTGTTTGTTTTTTCTCTCTGGATACTTAGCAAAACAAGATTATTCAAAGCTAAAGAAGTAATCTGTTCATATTTATTTGGAAAAAGAACAGTTATATAAAATTGGGTTTTATGTGCAAGTTAAATATATTCAGGATTAGTCTGTGAATTCAGCCTCTTCCAGATGGAAAATCTGATAGCTGCAGGCAAAAACAGTCATTGTCTAGGGGGATAGAGATTAAATATTTAGTCAATTAGCATGGTAAAGATTTTATTTGAAGAATAGAGATGAGGCGTTTTGAAACAGAATTAAACAGACACCTGAAACATAATAGACATAAATTCCAGTGCACAGATTTCACAACTCTATCATGTTTATACAATTACATTATAATCTCTACTGAACTGATCCACAATTTCATCTTTTAACAATTTCAGTTTTCAGCAACTGCTGTTAAATTTTTTATGTGATTTTCCTTCATTGTCTTGCATATATTGACCCAGTAGTGTGGTTGCTTAGAGGTGGAGCTCTTGCCTCGCAATTAGGAGGCTGAGAGTTTGATCCTAGATAGCAGCAGATATTTCTCTCTCTCTCTGTACAAAGAGAAAATATCTGCTATGAGCTCCATGTAGGCCTCAGGAAGGGCATAGAGCCAATAAACACTCAGCTATATTCAATTGCCTCGACTCCACCCCCAAACAGATTGCAAGGTCATTAAAAGGAAAAAAAATGCATATATTGATCATAAAGAGGTATACATTTGTAGGCATTAATTCAACTTTCAGGTATTTTCATAATCTTTTGATTTTGTAAACTTCTGTAATTTTCTTTGCAAACTTGAACCAGTAGTATTTCCATACTATGTGCAATGCAAACATTCAATTTATATTTTTGATCTTCCTCTATTTTATTTTAAAAATAAATCTCGTCCCACATTTACTTCTGGTGAAGTACAGCCTGTCAACTGCTTTTTGAGTGGAAAGTATGATTCATAATAATTAAAGTTCTTGTTTTTCTATAAAGTACATCTAATTCAGCTTGTATTACTCAATTTTACCTGCAGCATATCAATTAATTGGATCATCCAAAGTATTTCTGGCTTTAATTATATTCCCTGCATTTAATATTGTTTTCTACATTTTTCAAATTCATTTTATGTAATTAGACTTAGGATTCTTTTCAACTTGCTCTTGTAGTAAGCTAGAAGCTTCCATTAATCTTAAATAATGGATTTCTTCAGGTGCCAGTTGTAACTTCTACTCATTGGCTGTAGTACATCAAGAACTTTGCCTCCTGAAGTTGAACATTTAGATAGACTAAATTGCATTCTTATGTTGTCACTGAAAGCACAAACAATGTTCAATAGAAATTCAAATTCTGCTTTTGATTTTCTTAGTAATTGTAAGTCCTTCATCTGTAGCTATAGCAAATTGTTTTGGGTCATTTTCATGTTTTGGATGAAAAACCAAATCCTTAAAATGTTTTACAAACTTGATCAGAAGTTTTTAACTGTTCAGCTGAATCTGCTGCTGGACTTACTTTGTACAGTTCATCCGCCTGCCTGAGAAAATTGTGTTGCCCATTTACTGGTGATTATAGTTATGGTAGAAAACTAAGCTCTGTCATCACTACGTGTAGAGAGATTGTGCTCACATAAATTTGCTGCTAAATTTAACGATCTGTGCTACAGTTGTCTGCTAGTTTGCATCATTGCTATAGACACAGAGTAAACCAAGATGCTTCCTGTAAGCAGAGAGCACACTCGGGAGCAATCATTCAGGGATCTTTCTCATCTTACCATTTCATGGGGCCTCAGCAGAATTCTAACCATTGTGCCTTGAAGTCTATCCAGAGTATTCAAGAATCCTTCAGATTCCTAAAGACTGTGAAGGGAATAATTTTAACTGGAAAATGTAATACTTATTTTCCAAGTCCATCTTTGCTTTTCCTCAATGGGGACCATTAAGTCTATTTTTTATGCTTTACTGTGATGTCTATTCTATCAAGAATACAACCTCGACCTTATAACCCTTCTTTTAATTCATCTAGATGAGAAAAATGTAATACTACAGTGAGGGGGGAAAGTATTTGATCCCCTGCTGATTTTGTATGTTTGCCCACTGACAAAGAAATGATCAGTCTGTAATTTTAATGGTAGGTTTATTTTAACAGTGAGACCTAGAATAATAACCAAAAAAATCCAGAAAAAATGCATTTCAAAAAAGTTATAAATTGATTTGCATTTTAATGAGTGAAATAAGTATCTGACCCCTTCGCAAAACCTGACTTAGTACTTGGTGGCAAAACCCTTGTTGGCAATCACAGAAGTCATTGTAGTTGGCCACCAGATTTCCACACATCTCAGGAGGAAATTTATCCCACTCCTCTTTGCAGATCCTCTTCAAATCATTAAGGTTTCGAGGCTGACATTTGGCAGCTTGAACCATCAGCTCCCTCCACAGATTTTCTATGGGATTAAGGTCTGGAGACTGGCTAGGCTACTCCAGGAGATGATGATCAGGAGACTGTTCAAATGGTTACTCATGCCTTGGTCATCTCACAATTGGATTATTACAATGCACTCTACATGAGGTTGCCCTTGAAGATCAGCCAGAAGTTACACTGCTTTAAAATGAAATGGTGTGAGCAGTAAGGGGCATATCTCGATGCACCCATGTGTCACTATTGATAAATGAGTTGCATTGACTGCCAGTTGGCTTCCAAGTGCAACTGAAAGTATTACCGACAAAACTCTCTATGGCATAGGACCTAGATACCCAAGAGATTGCTTATCTCTGTTTCTGCCCATCTAGCATGTTCCAGCAGAGGTGATGTGCTTCAGCAGAGGTGATCCTGCTATTAAACAATGACATCTTGTGATGTTTTTTCTGTTGTCGTCCATACAATTTGAAACAATATCCATGCAAAGCACATTCTATCCTAGAATTCTAGAAAGCTTTGAAAACCCAGCTTTGGTCACAGGCCTGGAGTTGAACTGGAGGTGTGAACTATGTTATATTTTTAAAGGGAAAACTAAACCTTGGTCCCGGTGACCAACCCAGATTGGATCATGGAAGTGATGTTTGTTTAAGGTTCCTGATTTGTTGTGTTGAATTAGTTGTTTATTAGATCATTTTAGTCTGGGCTGTCCACCTGATTTAAGCTGTTAGCTGTTTTTATATTTTCTTCTAATTTTGTACGCAGCTCGGAGTCCATTAAAGTTGTGTGGTCAATAAATTTAAATAAATAAACCTAACTCTAACACCCCAGTGGAAGGAACACTTTCTAACAATAAAACAGTTCAACTATTACAAAAGTCTCCTTTTTACTAGATGCTTCATAAGTAGGAGAGCTGTTTGTCATTTGGGCTTCTGTGCTAAGCAAGAGTTGAACCAGCCCCTTCCAACGCTATAATTCAATATTGTAATATGCTATATTCAACACAGTATAAATATTAATATTAGTCATTATTTCATGAAAGGAGAGTTTGGATCCCAAAAGATTGCTGTATTAGAAATAACTAATGCTTCTTATAACCAGTACATGATTATTTTGTCTAAATATATAATGTATATATTTTTATGCTATTACATTACAGGCTGGCCACCCATTTCAACAGCGCTGTGCCCAATCAGCTTATTCAAATAGCAAGCAGAAATGGGAAGCTCCTGTATTCCTCCTTTTCTTGGACTGTGTCTGGCAGATCCTTCGCCAGTTCCCTTGCTCCTTTGAGTTCAACTATCATTTCCTCATCATGCTTTTTGAACATTCTTATGCCTCTCAGTTTGGAACATTCCTGGGTAACAATGAAAATGAAAGGTAAATGAACATTTTTTTCTGAGTTTCTTGGAGGTTAAGCAATATTACGGTTCATACAAGGCAGTATCAATGTCATTACTATTAAGATTATGAGGACTTGGCTATTAATTTAAAAGACTTGAAGTTTGCACTTGGGCTATGCCATTTATCAAATCAGGATTAGTTCATCTGTTGGCTGGTTTCTTGAAGTCTTCCCATTCCTTAAGCCTGTCACTTATAGGCCTCTTTCCGTGTACAGGAAGACATGGCATAAATATGGCAGAACATACCACTGGGTGAGTAGTGTTTTGGAAGGTGATGAGGGTCTTTTTGAGTTTTCAAAGGCTGATAGAACTTTTGCAGGTCAGCTCTTCTGTAGCTATGATCCCAAAGGAGACAATAACAGGAATGACTGTTCCAACACTATTTTGAACATAGTTGCATTTAACCATGCTCACAATAGTTTCTAGAATCACACTGCTAGAATTTGGGTGTGAAATAAGAGATACAGGTTCCTGCTGATAGACATATGTAAAAGCAAGCAAATATGAAACAGAAGCACAATCCCAAAACATAGAAAGAAAATTATAAAAATCCAGGCCGCCTCCATTTGCTGTCCGGACAATATTTCATTGTCCACAGTAGCTTCTGGGAGGAGTATAGCCTATAAATACTAAAACATTTTCCATCTTTCAATTAAAGAAACTGTGGATATCAGTGTTGTGGTTAGCTGGCAGCAGGGGTGGATGGCTGAGGAGAGCGAGGACTCAGATAAGGGGCCAGGACCATTAGGGAGTGTAACTGCTGCCTTCAGATATTGTGGGGCCTGGCATCAGCGATGAGGTTCCTGAGGAGCCTGTGCCAAGTTGCATGTGCACGCAGTATTGCTCACAGGAAAGAGCAGTTTCAACACTATGGGTGACTCGGGAGTAAGGCTGCAAGGTAATGGCCCCTCCTTCAAGAAGATAAAAGCCAGCTGTGAAGCAAATGTTCTTTGCAGGAAGCAAAGACGTTTTGAAACTCAGCCTGGTTGACATTACAGTATCTTAAGTTGGTATTTGAAGACACTTGTGAAATATTTCTTATCTGTGATTCTTGGCAGTCTCACACAGTTTTGGCAAGGTTTGTGCTTATCAGAATTAATTATTTTGCAGCAGCCTTTTTATTGGAGATTTGTAAGACTCATTAAAAGGTTTCTGTTTCCTTTGGTTATTGTTTGTCTTATTGGAAAAGGGTTTGGGTCAGAACAATCAGGGTTTAGAAAGATTGCCTGAATATTTAAAGATCTAAGAATTACAACAATGAATTGGTGATCTAACTTAGCAAAGAGTGCATCTTCCTTAATGTATATGTGTCCCCTCTAATCAGCAGTGGTGTCTCTGTGTTTACTTTGAATTTCTTGCAAATATTTCATAGTTGTGTTTCAAAGATCACTTTGAAATCCTATAATGTGTTAAATGTTTCTGGCCACAAGGGGAATCTTGCATCTTATACTGCTAAAACTTAACTGAAAAAGTTTATATTTTCAAGAGTACCAAGAAGACATATATACTACATGCATATTTTCTCTATCATTTGACTTCCTTTGTTTTTTCTAGTACAGTTGTACAGGCCTTTTTTGATTTTGACAATATACAAGATATTCTGCACTTTTTTTTTCTTTTTAATGTTTTAGTACGGGAGCACCTACTTTAAGTTTCTCCAGGACTGAGTTTATTAGCTAGAATCTTTTTCTATTATTGCCTTGTTTTTGTTCTCTCATACTTGCAAGTTGAAAAGGCATGATTTCTTTTCATTTGTGTTACAGAAATAGCAGAGCTTTTTTTTAAATTCAGTCTTCTTCCACATAGAGAGAAACACCCTCCTTCTCCAGGTTCCATTGCAAATGTTGTGAATAGAACACATAATTCTGTTTTGTTTTCAAATTTGGAGCACTTATGTTTACTTTTAATTTTTCACCAGGTCTAAGCTTAAATTGCCTCAGAAGACAATGTCCTTGTGGTCCTGGGTGAATCGACCAGAAGAGCATAATCGATTTAAGAACCCTCTCTTTGAAGCCAACAGTCTAGTCATCTGGCCATCCGTTGCACCACAAAGCCTGCAGCTGTGGGAAGGTACATGGTCTCCAAGCAGATTTGGAGGCCTCTGATCTGCTGTCCCACTTACTGGTGGCATTAGCTACCTGTCACTAGAGGGAGTCCAGGGAGATGTGGTCTCAGTCATTCATGCCCATACTCCAGGTTGGGTTCCTGTCACATGTTCTTCAGGGAAAGAGTCCTGAAACATGAATAGCAAGTAGTGCTGGCTGGCTGAAGTATGTATCTATTATTTTTCCACTATGATCAGAAAGTCTGAAGTGCTTCCTTCTCTCCCATACATAACATCTTCTCTGATCAATATTAGAAGGTCTGCTTTGTTCCTTCTGCCATTTGAGAAATAACAGATAAGTCGTAAGAGATGAATATTTTCAGGCTTTCCAGATTTAAATATCTTTCTTAAATTCATGTTGATAGCGATAATTAGATGAATTTAAATAGCTAGGCACTTTTTTGCATTGAAGCCTTATCTGTAGGTAGTAATAATAATAGCTCATAATCTAATACATCACTGTCCTTTCAATCTCATCCTCAGCCTACACAATTTTTTCCAGATGACATTGCCAGAATTTCAGTGTGGTTAATTTTATTTCCTTTGAAAGAAAGGGTGGGGGGAGAAGCAACATGGTTGTGCCAAATTTCCACTAGACTTAAAACATTTTTCATTTGAAGGGGAAGGGGGTGCAGGTGTGCAAAGATCTCCTCATTGCTGCCATCTTGCTATAATCCAAAAAAATACCTCTTCACAGTATAGGGTAATAAGATTTAATATTTGCAGAGCTGTTAAACTAACAGTTGTTCCTGCCTTCATGATTGAAAACTGTTCCATAGAGAGATACATAACCATATAATGTTCCTTTTTAAAATGTTCCCAGCTACCTCATTCCAAGAAAGAAAGTCAGTAGAAATTCACAGCTGATGTGATCTTCTTACTTATTTTTTTAGAGGAACTACTAGAGAGCCAGCCTGCATTGCTTGGTTTTCTTTTTGTGGGAGTTAAGAGAAAAGCAAAGCTGAAGTGATTGAAAGAATGTTATGGCTTGTTGGAAGGGAGCTTCTAATAATCTATCAGGTCACAGATGATTGTGCTGTGTGACTTAGTTTTTGTATCTTGCTAGAATGGAGAGTTTCCTCCATCAACTTGTCTGTCAGGAATAGCAATCTTGAGATCAAAGTAATCTGAAGGAAGTGAAGCAGCAAGATCACCTGATTGTTTTGTAGGTGGCTTGCTTTTCCCAACAGTATTGCCATATTTCAGACTCCTTTATTCAGTGTTTTAATAGAAATGAAGGCATTGCGTAAATAAAATTAGTATTTCCCCACTACTGACTTTTAGGAAATCCAAAGCATTTTTAAAAGTGTTCTTTTTTGGGGGGGGGGTCGCCCACAGGAGTTTTTCTTCGCTGGAACAGATCCTCCAAATTCGTAGATGAATCTTATGAAGAAATGATCAACATCATAAAATATAACAAGGAACTCCAAGTGAAAGTCAACATGCTAAGACGGCAGTTAGCAGAGCTGGAGATAGATGACAACACACAGGATGATGGGATGCCCAAGAGCCCCTGAAATCTGGCAGAATACAGGGCCAGATTGTGTTCCTTCCTGGTTAAGCGAATCACTTCTACACACTAAGCACTAAACAAATAAGACTTGCATGCGCTCAAGCTCATTTTTGGTGCAATCAGGTTGAACTTTTTTTTTTTTTGCTTCAGAGATCCTCACTTAGCACTATAGTCATCCACCTCCATTTAGGAACATGGTGCTTGTTTTTGTTTACATGATGAAACTTGTAATTTAGTTGGTTGTTGTCCCTCCTTGTCCCCTCTGGAGAGGTGTTTCATCTTTAATAAATTGTGTGTTCGGTTACAGTGTCACTCAGGTTTTTAAACACTACTAAACAACAATGTCTCTTACAATAGGGGTGCCCTTAGCTTTGTGGAAATTTTCATTCTGGATCTGCCAATGTTGTCAGAGGTTTCCATGCTTTGTAAAGGATGATCTTTGGGATTACTGTAGTAAGGCATGTCTAAATTCTTCTTTTCTTTCCCAAAGTAAACTTTTTTTTGTTCTTACTTAAGACACTTGTAACTTTGCAAGTAACTTTGGCTTGGATAGGACCTTCTATCACAAATTAAAACAATATTTTTCAGTGTTCCTTATTCCACACTGCAACTTGCAGAAAGGAAAAGGAGAGTGTCCAATAAAAAGCAAGACTTTTTACTGCATCTTCTCTACCCTCCACACTAGATGGAGCAGGCAGTGCTGATCACATTCATTTCTTTGTATCTTGGCTCAAAAGAAAGTTGATTCTGCACAACTGGTGGGCAGGTACATTTTGCAATGCTATCCATAAAGATATGAGCACTTCACTATTTTTAGTGAAAAATTATTTCCTTATTTTTGTTTTTGTTGACCTAACTGTGGAAATGCTAATTTGCCAGAATGGGATTGTGCCTGCTGTAGATACATAGTATCTACAATACTAAATGCAAGCTTTTCTTACATGTAACCAATTCTGGTGTAATGTTTGGATGGTTTTGGTGTATCATTGAATTACTTCTCAACTGTGGAGACTGTATCTGGATATTTATGCAAAAAACATGGATTTGTGTTCCTTAACAAAATGCACTATTTGGCTGAAAGTATGGCTTGACTGATGGAAAAATAATGCATATAGCACCAACAGCATGAAACCTAAGTAGCTTTGATCCATATGCTGTTATCACCAAGACTTTGCCCAATTTGGAAGCTTCTGATCATTAGCTTTGCACTAGTGTGTTAAGTTGAAGGTAGGAGGAGAATTTAAATATCATATCCACTTCTGTATTCAGCTTGGCTTGCAGGTTAAGTTGATTTGGCCTGAGGGTTGATTTGTCCTATTCCATGGAACTAAAAGCACATTCATGACATCATTGAAAGGGGAGTATCTGTGTTATGCATGCTCATACTTATTAAACCCTTTTGACAAATTAGTAATGTTAGGTGTATATGTCAGAACTGCATTCTGTTGTAGAATTTCCTTAGTCAAAGTCTTTTGAAGCATATAGCTAGGCTTTCATTTTTTAACATCTACAAGTAAAAAGCCTTACTTTGTATTTTGCTCTGTTTCTTTGAATGTTTTGTAATACTTTTTTTTCTATTCCACTTAAAAGAAATAACTGCCTGTTTTACTCCATTTCCTTTAGATATCGGTCTCACTAGACATGTCTGTTTCCTGATCTTTGGAACATACAAACTTTCTTGATCAGATGTGGAGTTTTTTTAAATTTCCTACTTTGATCAGAAATTTTCTCTTAGAGGCAGTCCCCCTTGAATGAACAAATTTTATTCTTTGCTACCATGTCAATTTAGCTGACAATATCAGAGGTTCCCCTCCTGAAAATGCAACATAATATAGTTGATTGCCCAAACAATAGAGCAGTCAGCATTAATGTGAAATATATTGTTCCTTTTAATGAATTTTACTAAATATTTTGGATAGGAACAATTTGTGGCTTTTTTTGTTGTTGTGTGTGGAGGAGGGCTTCAAATTGTGGATAATTGTGCCTAACCTAATCTGCTGATCATCTCCTTCCACCTCTCCCCAAATCCTTTTGGAAGAGCCAGAAATGTACAGTATTCATTTTCTTAAAGGTATGCTGCTCAGAATTAGTACTGTCTGTAGCTCTTGTGTCTTTAACTAAGATACATTTCTTTCTAAGTGTAGTGATACTTTACTTTTCGCAATAGTTTGGAAGCTGCAAGCCTGCTCCAGGACTTTATCAATAATGGTTGAGCTTACCAGATACTTGTATTTGCCACTAGGAGGTTAAAGTGACAAAGGTGCATTTTCAAATTCATTTGGGTATCACACAAAGGCAGATGTGTGGTATTAGAATAACAACAGAGAGAAAACTGGGAACTACTTTGGGGTACTATCCTTTTTCTCAGTAGCCATGACAATTCCCAGTTGAACTAACTAGGTGATGTGGACTAACCTCACCTGCCTTTTCCTTTCTATGATTTTGTGGTTATTGGAAATAGTGGCACATTATAGGATTGCTTGATTTAAGAGGTTAACTGGTATGTTACTTCCATTTCTGGGAAAAGGTAAAATATCAGGGATGAAAGTTCAGAATCTTAATCCTGAATTATTTTCTGTTTATTTGGCAGCTTTACATGGATTTCACTCTATGTTTAAGCCCAACCATAACCTTTTCAGCATATTCTACCCTCAAATGGACTCTTAACTTGCACCACTCTAAAGTATTGAAATAAACAGACTCCTTCCATATCTATTTATTTCAAAGTTATTTTCTTGTTAAGTTTAGATGTGATTTTTTGAATATGATATTTATGATATAGTTCATTATCTTCAAGAATTGGTTGTAAACTATTCATAATCTTAATGGCTAATTTTTGATAGTTTTTGAAAAATATGTTTGATTAAAGGGAAGTGTAAATAACAATATTTACAATGCAGTATTTATTATTTGCATGAATTAGACCTTTGTAAATTATGTTAATAATTATGTATTTTCATATGGTTTCATAATAGTTTTAAGATTGGTTAACATTTCACCTTTTTCCAGAAAAAAATTAATTGCATTTTCATACTGCTATGAATTCTGAAACTTTTTCCTCATTGAAAATTAGGTCCTTTATAGCAGTGCAAAGATGGCCCATCTTGGCTTGGCTGCTTGATTACAACACAGCAACCTATTTATACATCAACACTTCTTGCAATGGATGTTACAAAATTATACTTCTGAGGGTTTTTCATTCTCTAAATCTTTGTCTTTTTTTTCTCCTAATGTCTGCACATGAGGCAGAAAATTGAGGTAAATTCTGTATACTATTATAGGGATACTATATAATGTAGTAAATGTGTAGAAAAGAGCAACCTGGTTTAATTTCTACAACTTAACATTTCATATGACTAGGGTCACCTTCCATTTTCTCTTGGGTTCTGCAGATATAATCAAATTACTGTATTGTGTGGATAGATGCCAGCTCTTACTAACATTACCAATTTTCTCTGGGTACAATCTGCCTGCTGTAATTATTTGAAATTGCTGCCTCAGCATTCGTGAAGTCTTCAGTTTTAAAAATTGAAATAAACTTGAGAAGTTACTGTTTTATTGGATGGTTAATATTTTTCGAGCATCTGACAGTTCTATAACTTATTTTACAATAGGTGTCTTAAGGGGTGCCTGTTTTTCAGAGTACCAAATTTGCTGAAAAAGCTGAACCCCCACCCCTCAAGTAACTGCTAATGAATTGGCAGACCAGTCACAGTGCCTGATAAAAATAAAAGAAGCTGCCGACTGGGAGTTCCTGATCCTTTTTTGTAGCATCTAAGCAGGTTACCTCTTCCCTCACCTCATTACTTCCTTTTTGTCCTCTTCCTTCCTCTCCCCACATTGTTTCTGCTAGAAGGAAGAAAGGGGAAGAGGAAAATGTATACATGCTTCCATGCTTTTCTGTGTGAGAAAAGAATAATTGGTAGGTCCTTATGGAGGAACAACTAATGTTATGATGAGAAATCATTAATTTACATGCAGTTAATGGCCACCCCACCCCATTCCAAAAATAATCTGGTCTATCCTTTGGATTGATGGATATAGATTTTTGACTACTCTTCCTTTGGCAGGGAAATGCTTTTATATTCAGAGTCATCTTCTGTTCAGATAAATATGGTTCAAATTCATAAATAGTTTTGCATTTGAAGATGCCTTCTAAGCAATCTTTTTAAGAGAAATCCTTCTGTTCTTCAGTTATGAGCATATGACCAAGAATATGTTAGTTTCATAGCCCTTAGATTTATATACTGCTCTACAGTGCTTTATACCGCTCTCTAAGCAGTTTGCAGTATCAGCATATTACCCCCCAAAATTTAGGTCCTCATTTTACCAACCTTGGAAAGATGGCTCAGTCAACCTTGAGCTGATCAGGATCGAACTCCTGGCTGTGGGCAGAGATAGCCTGCAACACTGCATTCTAACCACTGTACCACTATGGTTCCTATTTTAATGTATCCCTTTTTCAGTAATTGAAGGCAGAAATCAGCCAAGGAAATTTCAGATCCCAAAACTTCATGAAATATTTACCAAGTGTATTTTCTTACTGGTTCCAATATATAGACTGCTAGGCTTTTATGACAGTAGTAATGCAATTAATGAAACAATAGAAAGTTGAACATCTCTTCCACTATCACTAATAATGTGCTAATAATTCAGGTGGAGAGTTAAGATTCTTGGAATTTTTTTGTCCAAAATAACTGTTTTCCAATAGTGGGCACCTGAAAGATTTGTGCAACATCAGAAGTTCAATATCACTTTAGGATATAAGTAAAGTAATTACTAAAACCTGGATTAATTCTGGATAGGCACATTCCTGATCCCTTCCCTAAAATATGGTACCTAATGAAATCTCAGAAGTGTGTCTTCTGTGGCTGCCCCTACTTTATGGAACTGCAGAGGTATACTTTAACAAAATGTAGAATGGGAGGAGAGCCTACTTTTTCAAAGTAAAACCGTGAAAGAGAAAGTTAATGTACAAAACATAAACCCAAAACCATAAATTTCTCCTCAAGAATGTGATCTGTTTCCCGTTTGATAAGGAACTGGCAAAGATGATTTAGGTATGAATTCTTAAGAAAGGGCCATTGAAAACCACTTCCCTTTCAAATGAACTTGATTCCAACAGCAAGAAATTTCTATTTAGTTTCCTGACATAATTTTCTTTCTGAATTCTTTTATGTTTAAATATGGCAATTTACAGGTCTCTTGCAACATTCTGGGAAATGAAATTAATATCTCAAATTTCAAATGTGAGTATTTACCTATAATTACTGGAATTGGAAATTCTAGATGAATCTAATTCCATCTCCAAAAATGGTAATGTCTTTATGTTATATTTTAGTTTTACCATACTTCCTTTTCTTTTCTATGGTGCCTGTGGCAAATAAGATGCATATTTGAAAGACATATTTTATTTGTTCTTTATTTGATATATTCTGCCTTTATTTTATTTTATTTTTTTTAAATAGATTTTATTAAATTTACAATTTAAAAACACATCAACAATACATTTACAAAGTAGAAAAAAAGACGGGTAGGGGGAAAGAAGGAAAACACCCGGCCTAGCACACTGGATAAAGGCTGGTTGGGGGAAAGAGAAAGGATATAGAGGGAGAGAAGGGAAGGGAAGGGGAGGGAGAATAGGGTAGAAATACAATCAAAAACGAATGATATCTTTTTGTGGCAGTCTGTAAGGATCATTTCTCTTCATCATATCCAATCTACTTCTCTTTTCCATTATGTTTAGGTTACTTTTTATCATTTACATAATTTGTCTCTGTGTAAGCCAATTATACCATGAGTCCCAGTTGTCGTAAAATGTTGAGGACTCTTTGTTTTTTAATGCTATCATTAATTTATCCAGTTCGGCACACTCACAAATTTTCTGAATAACCATTTGCTCTGAAGGTGTATGAGGTAATTTCCAACATTGAGCAAAGGCTAATCTAGCTGTGGTTAGAATATGGATTATTACATATTTGGTCTTTTTGGATAAATATCTATCAGAGATCCCTAACAGGAAGAACTCTGGTTTATAGTCTATTTGTTCTTTAGTTATCTCCTCCAACCATTTTCTAATTTTTTGCCAAAATTTTTGGGTAGTTTTAGACAGGGGAGAGTAGAGGACATCTGGAGATAGCTAGCTATTACAAGCAGGCATAAAGGCCCTCATTTGCTAGCATCACAAGGGATGGTGAGCAGCAAGACTTGGTTCATCCCCCAGGCATTTGGGTCAGTGGATAGATAAGCTCTGCTGTTGTTGGTAGTTTAATTAAATTCATGATTTTCTTAAGTGCTTGTCTGAGAGAGTTGTTTGTTTTAATCTTGTAATACACCCAAAATCACTTGTGTGAGATGGATGGCTATATAAGTTAAACAAACAAATAAACAAGGAAAGCAGTGTTTTGCTGGATCACATCCCTAGTGCATTTAATCCATCAGCCTTTTCTCACAATGGCCAACCAATTACACAAGGAAATCTACTTCTCTCCTAGCAGATGGCCAGAGGCAATCATGCTGCCATCAAAGCTAATAAACATTTACCCTGATGATTTCTATGAATTGTCCTGGTAGCAGAATTACAAATTCCAACATTCAATTACACATTGTGTTGATACTTTTGGCTTTTTTATATATACCGGTACTTTATTGTACTATGTTGGTCTTTTTTCAACTATAGAGGCATATTGTATCACTACAATTATTCCAAGATTCCTTATCAGTCAAGTGCTAGCTTGGATCCCTAGTTCGTATGAATATGTAGGACTTTTGGTACCAATGTGTATCATTTTACACTTGCTCATATTGAATGACATCTACCATTTTCACACCCACTCCCCTAATGTGCAGAGATCGCCGTAAGAGATTCTTGCTGACTTGCTCCTTTAAATCTAGTTCATTATTATATGTATGAACTGCTCTGCTGAAATGTAAAGAAAATAATATGGTTCATCCTTACAAGTGATGAGGACATAAAAAGTTTTCCTGTTTCATCTGAACCAAAGAAAGGCAAAAAGAAAATCCCCAAATAAATAGGTAGTGGCTTGGGGCCTGGCTATCTATGAGACTGCTTATTTCAGATACACATGCCAATGTTTCCCGTTGCCTGTGAGGTGTGATGAGAAGGGATATGGAGGTTAGCATTCCTTGTTGCTGTCAAAATAACACCTCCCAGAAAACGATTCCTGTTCTGATGTTTAGGAAGCTAGATGGTTTTTTTTGTTTTTTTTTGGGGGGGGGGGGGGGGGGGGGGGGGTTGGAGAGCAATTGTAAACTGAAGTGCTGAATTGATAAATGCACCATACTTGAGATTAGCGATGGGTACTGGTGGTAGTGGCAGTTTTATTGAATTATTGAAATATATTATTAACTTTTTTGTAACTGATGATGCAGTTTCAGTTGACCAAAGCAACACAGAAACACTTATGACAAATAAATAGTAAGCAAACTAAATGAAAAAAAAACCAGAAATCATTTATTAGAAATCTTGAATGACTGGTGTTATAAGTGAATTGGAAAGAGTAAAATTCACTAAAAATCTCTTGACCTGCAAGGCAGAGGCATGGAAGATTCAAAATTCTGCATCTGTTATTCTTTAATGCTATTGCATTGCCATTTGCCAAGTACAATTTGAGTACAACATATCATATCATACACACACACAGGCACAAATCAACTAAATAAATAAAATAAATACCTGACTAACGTTTTATATTCACAACTGAAAATCAATGAAAAACCTTAAATATTTATAGAGCAGAATTAGCCTCTCACAGTTGCTGTAATGTGATTGGGGGATATACATCAAATAAATATATTTTCAATTGAATTTCATTCTTATATGTTTAATTCATAAATCATAAAAGAAGTTTACATTTCTAAAAACTTTAATCCATTTATTTTCCAAGATTGCATATTCCAATTCTTCATTCCATCATTAGACACCTGAAGTTGTTAACTTCCATTCTGCTTTTTAGTTCCTTATAGAATTGGACTTGTTTCAGTTCAAGCACTGCATCATTTAAAGTTCCTTTATTGCAGGTCATCTTCCAGGCTGTTAAACCATCTTGGGGATACAGTTCAGTCAGTACATATTTCAGTTGTATTATGAAGTGGAGGTTATAAATAAACCATATTCATAATGCAAGACTTTTACACAACTCTTATAAATCAATTGATTTAAGATATTTATCCCTTATTTAGATTCTAGTAAAATATAACCCTGGCTGCTTTCAAATTAGGGTTATTCCCACAATGTCAATTTCTCATATGATTTGGGATCAATATGTGACCCCTTATCTATTTATAAGCAAATATGGCTACAAGTTTTCAAGACTGAAAATAAATATTCCTATTTAATATACTTGGAGCATAAAACTTCCAAGTTTTCAGAGATAGACAGACAGACAATGCAGGCTCTATAGTAAAAGTGAAAATGGGCATTAACCTTGGAATCCTTAAAATATACATGAATCTCAATATAGAATGCATTTCAATATTAATCTTGCCCTAAGACATAACAGAAATTTTAGGCATTGCACTGCATTAACTGAAATTGCATCTATTAAACATATTGTGCTATCGTTTGAGAAAAACCATGAACCCAAGTCTTTTAGAATCAGTACAAATTGTAATCCTTGCCTGTTGAACAATCTACTGAAAATTCAAATCCCAAAGGCATCATATTATAGACTTTTGCCAATTAATAATGTAACTAAAATAAGAGCTATATTGTACATTCTCAGCAAACCGTGATGGGTGACTATTATTTAGAGAGGTTGCCATCTAAATCTATTTTATGTTGTTACCCCTTTGTGAAAACTCCGGCACCATTCAGCCTGCGCTGCTCCTTTAATAATTAACCGGGTGAGGGAGGGAGAGGAGGCGATATTTACCTATAAATGGAAGTGACGTCACACGGATCATTGATTTCGTTTTCTACACGTCACTGCCATTCCCCTGCCTGTTCTTTTTCGGAGCGAGCCGCTCGAGCCAATCCAAATGTTCCCATGGTAACCGGGGTAAGTGCCAGTGGCCCCCTGCCAGCAATATTCAATGGCGAGGTGCGGGTTCCTCCGCTCAGAGGCCGGTTTGCATCAAGGAAAAACTGTCAGAGCTGCTCGCCGGTGCCCAATCAGAGGGCAGAATTGAAGCGAAAGTGGGAGGGACTTGCCAGCAGCCGGCGGTGCAGAAGTATAAGACGGGGAAGGCGAGTGTCGCGTGTGATTCTCCGGTGAGTGTCTGGTGTTCCCGTGGATCGTCTGAGAAGAAAGACCTGTAGGTGAGTAACCGAGGACCATTCTGCTTTTCTCCATTAAAAAGAAAAATCGTCTCCTGTCGTTTATTTATATCCTGATCGTTACTTAATCTGTACATTTCTTCATTTTCTCAATCGGAAGATGGGGATGGCTTGAAGTGCCCTTGGCTGTTAAAATCATTTACTCCAGTAATGTGGCATATGCGGAAAGTCGGTTATGGGAGAAAATTAGTTGGAATATTTTCAGAAACATCTTTGGCTTCTTGGCTGACTTTTAACTTTTGTTAAGCTCTGCTGTCGATTTTGCTGTTCGCCAGTTTTTCATCGATGTTTTAATAAACAATCCGAGGTGGCTAATAATCAAAATTGCTGCAAAACTGATCATAGTCATGTTATTTAAAGGATTAATGAGGGTCCCTTTTTCTCAATGAAAAATGCTCATTTTTAAAGCCCTTGTAGCCGTTTTAGCGAGTTAGTGGGCATTTGGAGCACATCCGAGGGGCACCATATTGTGCAGAATTGGCTTAAGGGTTTCTTTCTTCTTTTTCCAGTGTTTCCGGTTTATTATTCCACACATTTTAGATCTTCCAAGATTTTTTTAAGATACATCCATGCAAGTAACTTAAGAGTGAGGTTCCACCCTACAGCAATTTTATTTCTCTTCAGAAGGAATGAAACCTTTTGAAGTATAAGGTAGCTAGCTGTTCTGGAGAGAAAGACAGAGAAACCCAAAGGGCTAAAGATGTGCCTTATTTTAGTAGGATTTAGTGAGTGTACATAATTTGGATTTTTTTTTCTTATATGCAGCTGGCAGTTTGCCCACAATTACGTTCATTCACAAAATTCCAGATTTATAACCCTATCCAAGATTTCATAACTTATCTTCTTAAAAATGTTTCATTTACTTGACTGTTACATTAATTTTTTAAACTTATTTTACTTCTATTTTTGAAGTTTAAGCTTTTGTTTTTACTCTGACCCATCTTGCATTTGGTTCATTACCTGTGAAATTCACTCCTAAACTGTTAAAATATTGAGTCTAGAATGTTCAGTATGCAGAGCATGGTCCCTTCTCTTTCTTTACAGATAAGGTGGGGTTTGAAGAAAGCAAAAGGTATTACTATGAGCTTCCTTGGAAGTATTAAAAAATTCCTTTAAATGCCTTCAGCTATTTAAAATGTATGTCCTCTTCCATTGCCTTCCCTAATATTGCTTGCTCCATGTTCTCCTATACTTGCTTTGTCATACAATTTAAATCCTTTCCTTTTTGCATGCTGTGTGTAAAAGAATATGTCTCTGAAAATAGATCTCTGTGTCTTTGCATTTCATGGGTCACATACGTACATCTTTAACGAAAGTAGGAATATAAAAAGCCTTGTACCAACTGAAATCATTTGTCAGGTTTATGTAAGCTGACTGACAGAAGCTCCGTGGAGCTTTGGGGAAAAAATCCTTTCCAGTTTAAGTTGATGTCTTCTCATGCACCTGTTTTGTTCTCTATTTAATATTCTTAACCAAACTGCAATATTTTTATTTGTTACTCATTTTTCTTTATCAGCTTACCACCTCTTCATACTAAACTCCTTGACTATATGTTTTCCATGCCTTGATTTCTTCTGCCTCTTTGTTGTGACATCACCTTTTTCCCTTCATCTAAAAAAAAATGCTGATTCCTATCAGTGCATTCCTGGATCAGCTTCTTATTTTTTTCAACATTACTTTGCTTTGATTAAGCCATAAAAATAAACTCTTCAGCAACCTTCTCTAAGACTGTTCCTCTGCAAATCTGGTCTGGGATACGTTCCTGCTTCTAATTACTGCATTGAAATTCAGCAGCATTACCTTGTTGGAAAAAATGTCCACCTGAGTTCAATTCCAAGTGGGAAGAAAGACACTGGAAACATGAAGGCTGACTGGAAAGATGGTTTAATGGTGGACAGGACCACATGGTTTGAAGTGCTGGGTAGCTGACTACATGGAGTGGAGAATGAGATACAGTTGCCCTCTCTTGGGCTTTGAACTTGTTTCCTGTTCCTGTGAAAGAAATGTATCCTGATTGGTTGTCTGACTCCCATGGAGCCATGCAGGGGTAACTTTGTAGGTTGTCTTGAGTCCTAAGCTTGGTTGAATCTTGCTGGGTGATGTAATCTTCCCAGGTGCCATGTGGTGAGATGGGTAGAAGGCTAATCCTATTATGTCCTGAGGGTGATGGTCTTTTGTGTTGTAGATAAGCTGGTCCAGCCTGTAGATAAGCTGGCATCAAAATATTTGCTGGGGCAAATATTTGGTGTCCCTTAAGATTTCTATTTCTCTTTTAGGGGAAATATTCTGTCTTTTTTATATTTCCTAGACTATTTCTAGGAGAAAGGTGGGTGCTAACTATCTACAACCTGAAGCACCTTATGATTACAATACCTCTTGTAAAGTATCTATATTCTCTAAAAACAGATGATCCTTTAACTGTCCACAGTGCTGCTTGGCCCAATTACGAAAGATGGATTTCATTTGTGGCAATCAAGTAGTTTGTCGCAGGTGTTTTCAGTGTATGCTCTGCTTTATATTGAATTTATATTCCTTATTTAGTATCTTGTAATGATGAACTGAATGGATACTTAAAGCAATATTAGAATATAGATAAATTACAGATGAAATGTAGAATGGTTTTAAAGAAATTGTATTTATTTCATTTATTAATTAAATGTATATGGCTACCCATATAAATTCTTTTTTAGTTTTGTTGTGTTGTGTAACTGAGAAATGTCTGTCAGATTTAAACCTAGCAGCTTAAACTGTATAAAGTTGGGATCCGGGATGTATAAAGAATTCTATGGAATCTTTGGTGCTCTCTTGGTTGTTTGCTTGCAGATGTTTCATTACCCAACTAGATAACACCATCAGTGCGAGTGTTAAGTTTGCCCACTTATATACAGTAGCTGCCAATGATTGTAGGGATGTGGTTTTCTCCTTGGTAATTCCTTTATTGGGGGGAATTGTTTTCTGCTTGATGAGCAGCATGATAACCTAGAGATGGAGCTCTTGCCTCACAATCAGGAGGCTGTGAATTTGATGCTAGGCAGCGACAGATATTTGTCTCTGTCTCTGGGTGCAAAGAGAAAATATCTGTGGTGAGGCTCAGTGTAGGTGTCAGGAAGGGCATGTAACCAGTAAACAGTTCCATTCAGTTGGCCTGACTCCACCCCAATGCAAGGGATTACAGGGTCATTAAAAGAAAAAAATGTTTTTTGCTTGATCTTTTGTCTGATTTAATTACTGCTTATCTGCCTATTAGCTGCTAGAGATAATGTGTTCTGGTCTTTTTGTTTCCTATTTAGTTTGTTTATTGTCTCATTTGAATGGTGTGTAAAAGTAGTTTATTCTCTGTGTGTTCACTGATGGTTGCTTTGTCTGCATGCCAAACTTCCAAGAATTCCCTAGCATTTTTGAATGTATCTTGGTCTGGGACCCCTACAATTTCCCACTTGAAATCATGGTGGAGTCTGTCCATGTGTTCTGAAATGAAGAGTTTTCTGGCTGATAGTTGGTGATCATGGATGCACTCTGCCAGTCTTCTCTCCATCTGTCCTACAAAATATTTATATGCCATCCAGGGCGGCTGCCGAGTGAGATGGGTGGCACATAAATTAAATAAATAAACAAATAAATAATAGCCATTGCAGTCCTTGCTCTGTATCTTTAGATCGGGGTGTCAAACCTGCAACAAAACGTTGTCACCTGATGTATCACAACTTTATTCCCCTTCGCTAAACTGGAGGTGGGCGTGGCCAGTGCGTGACATATCCAGCCCACAGGTTGTGAGTTTAACACCCCTGCTTTAGATGATTCCTGATTTTTCTTTTTGGATTAATGGGTCCTTTGGTTTCCTTAAGATATTTTGGAGGGCTTTAGTTGGTTTGTGTGCTATAATGATTCCATGTTATTGTACTACTCTTGTCGGTTATTTCTGAGATGTTTTTGATTTATGGTAGTGTTATCTTTTCATAGCTTGTCTTGGTTGTGCTTTTGTGAGTTGAGTGGTTAGGCACTTTTTAAGAAAGTTGGAGGGGAAACCATTTTTGTTAGACAATGTTGTATAGGCAGTATGCTTATTTTCCTAGTGTTCTGGGTTGTTACAGTATGTTTGTTCTGACCTCTTGTGGGAGATTGGGTTGTTACTTTGGGGACTTGGGTTCATATGGCTTGTTTATCAATAGACTTGCGTTTCTAATTTACAGTTGTTTTCCTCTACTAAGGAGATTTATCGAGGAAGCAATGTTGTTGCTTTCTTCTTGCTTTGTAAATGTTATGTAAAAATGTACTCTGTATCTAAATATTTCCCATCTCTTTCACAAATGTGCGTACATATATATACACATACATATACAAAGAAACATTAATTTCCTTTTAAAAAATGAGTTATTATTCAGCTAATGTCACAAAGACAACAAGCACTCTTGCTATTTCCTGGTAAAAGCACTTCTCTTTTCTTGATATGGTATGTTCCAACTCTTGTTTCTCAATCATATTGAAATAAGACATCCTTGTCCTAGAGCAGAGCTGAGGTCCCAGGATCACATATAATTCCGAATCATTTTTGGTGGATCCCTAGTTTTATGTCTGATGTAATTATTTATATACTAATGCAAACTAATATAAAGGAAAAAGGGGGAAAAAAACCAAAGAGAAAGCTTTTTAAGTGCAAGAAAGTAAGAAAAAAAATAGAAAAGAAAGAAAAAAAGATACAAAGAAAATGGTTTCCAAACTTCTTTTCAGTTATCTTTACAATGATAAGTTTACCCCTTTCTCTAAAGTTACATAACATTACTCTCTTCTCTCTTTTGATCTATCTTATTTAATCATCAAAACCATAAATCATAAACTTATTTTTTTCTGTTTTATACAAAGGGTTTCCAGACAGTGAGTAGACATTGTTTTTTTTCTAATTAAGCAGATTAATTTGTTCTTCTCAGCAAGATGCGTCATCTTCACCAACTCCTTCATTGTAAGGATTGCCAAACCTTTCCATC